TAAAAAAAATGCTGGGTTAAATACAACCCAGTGCTGGGTAAAATAGGGACAAACCCAGCGATTGGGTTGTTTTGACCCAGCGGTTGGGTTACTACCCAGAAGGTTGGGTTAAACATTTAACCCAACCACTGGGTCAAAACAACCCAATCGCTGGGTTTGTCCCTATTTTACCCAGCACTGGGTTGTATTTAACCCAGCATTTTTTAGAGTGTATTATTATTATTATTTAAAAAGTTTATTTGAAACATTAAAGTAAACACTTTACTTGCATTTTACATGCTTTCTATGTATATAAAATCGCTTTAGGAGAACAATTCTCACTATTAACTACAGTAACTATTAACTATGACTTTTGCCTCAATAAACTCCTAATTTGCCGCTTATTAATAGTTAATAAGGTAGTTGTTAGGTTTAGGTATGGGGTGGATTAAGGCATCGAGTGTATGGTCCTGCAGAATAAGACATTAATATGTGCTTTATAAGCACTAATAAACAGCAAATATGCTAGTAATATGCTTGCTAGATAATAGTGAAAATTGGTCCTTAAAATAAAGTGTTTTCACATTTTTCAATTTAATTTGATGCTGTATTTTCATATTTTGCTGTAGTGTGTCATTAGGAAATATTAGTTTACATTTCCAAACATTCCTTTTGCCATTAATTGTAATAATCCAGTGAGATTTTTGTCTGACAACAGCCAGTGCTGCACACAGAGATCTGATCTTATCATCATTCAGTCTGTCTGGATTGACATGAAGAAACAGAACAAACTGATACGGACTCAATCCATAAGAACTGTGCCAACGTCTCCAAGATGCTTAAAAACAACAAATTAATATTATAATTAATTACATTCACAAACCATATAATTTAATCACATAATAATATAACATTATTTGTTTTCACATTACAATTGTTGCCGGGTAACAAAGAGTAGTCATCATAAGAATTGCCTGCGGTCATGCCTATCCATCAGTACGGGGCACTCTCGTGTGTCTGAGCAGCGCGGTGAGAAGAGCGGAAAAAAAGAGAGTGTTTGTTTCTGGGGAGCCGGTTTATGATTAGTCAAGTCAAGTCAAGTCACCTTTATTTATATAACGCTTTTAACAATACAGATTGTGTCAAAGCAACTGTACAGCATTAATTAGGAAAATAGTGTGATTAGGGGCTTTCCGGGAACACGTGAGTTGAAGTGTGTGGGCTGGAAAACAACACCGTTTGTTGTTTGGTCTGGGGGAAAAAAGGGGAAACCCTCGGTTGGGTGTTGGTCTGATCGCTGAGCAGTTTAGAGCAGTCTACTATCACACGGATTTCGGATTTCTCCGTGGGTGAGAAATATCTGCGTAGCGGAATCGTGCAGGCCACGGAGATCGAGCGTGAGTGATATTTAATGTGAACGTTGAATTTAGGACATGCCATTTATATTGTGAAGTGGAAGGGAAAGTAAACAAAACGTATTTCTCCTTTAATAAAATAATACTAGAGGGGAGAACGAAGGCACGTGAAGGTGCATGTGAGGTGACAGCTGGGTGAATTTCTAATGAGACGGAGTGAGTAATATTTATTTCATTTGTTTTGGGGAAATGTATATGTATACTCAGAGAAAATGGTTCACTAGTTGTATACTGTTTTGATGTCAATGTTAATTTGAATTAATTAATAATCTGTCCTTGGAGAAGAAGATAGTAATAACAATGTTAATAGAGATGTACAGAGTGTAAAATAGATTTACTTGAATTTATTTAGTCTATGGTTGTAAGTGGCTTATGAGAATGTATATTTGATTATACTTCTATGTTTGTTCTTCCTCCAAAAAGCATCATAAGCCACTACCTTTGTTTATCTGGGGGTTAAGTGCTCACACCAAGTTTCTTTGTACTTTGTTTAATTAATTAATTAATTAATTAATTAATTAATTAATTAA